TTTTGTTCATGACATACGTGAGCTCAATATATCCCAAAGCTCTCCATGGAAAAGTCAACAAAAGCTAGCCTCCAATCTCCTGACATGCGTGGGAACAAGCCAAGAAAGAAAAGTCCACCCTAAGCTAAAAGACGAAAAACTCAAAAATAATCAGAGAGCTCTCATCATCTGCAATCTTCCATTTTGTATCTGATAGTCTCCTCCTTGCACTGTGCGGCGGCTCCTAGGGAAAACAAGACGTCGGTCCAATGACCGAAAAGGGCTTGTGTCCCTTTTTCCAAAAGTGCCCTTGCAAGCCTTCTAATTTATTTCTTTCCCGATGACTGTCAAAGTAGCAGTGATTGTGGTATTTTTTATCTACTCCCTGAAATAAATGTAAATTACGAAAAGTGAGTAGAATCCAGCAATTAATTCACATCAAGTCAGGTAATAGGAGAAATTAATAATAAAATAAATAGTAAAATTGCAACCTATCAATTCCCCCCACACCTAAACCATGCTTGCCCTCAAGCATAAGAAAAGCACACAGACACCAAAATTTGATAATGGTCATTGCTCTATCTACCAAACTGCCAAGATATCAAGAAAAACCATATATCGAGCACTAGTGATTAAAATCCGAGAAGCATCCCCCCAGTTAGCCTCTAAACCACAAATTCCTTCAATTTCCAAATTAGCTAATCTAAGAAAAAGGAATGGCGCATAACATTTATCAGCAAACAATCCAAATATTAACCAAAGTCTCCATATTAGGTCCATAAATCGGCAAGCTGACCTCTAACACACTAACACAACCTGCACTATTTTTCTTCTTTTTTTTATCACATTTCTATTATTTATTCTTTTTCTCTTTTTTTCCTTTTTTTTTCCTTTTTTTTTCCATTCTTTTTCCCCCTTTTTTCCTTTTATAAAAATAACAACACAAAAAGACTTAGTCTCTAGTCATTAGAGCCTTTTGACGCGAACTCCAATATTTTTAAATGAAGGAGCCCGGTTACTCAGCTCCTATTGCTATCCGACCACGTACTCATAGAAAGTACTACCTTTTGATGCGAGAATCGACACTTTTAGGTGCAGATCCCCGATTACTCAGTAGTAACTAATAGTGGAGTACAATCAAACTTATTCACAGCCAAACAACGCAAAAACGCAAAACAACACTAAAAACAAAAAAATAGGAGCAGCTCGTCTCATTATTGCCAAACATGGAGAGCTAGAGTCAATATTGGACCAATTCACATTAAAACGCCAACAGTCATTCCCTATGCCTAGAAAAGTTAACAAAGAGATCAAAAGAGTCAAGCAGTCCGATATTCACCAAGGAGATGTTTTGGACTCAACCACATTAACTCGATACACTTTTATTTTAAAAACTTGGCAAAAGTAGAGTTAGAATCAACATCCCAACATCAAGTCCAGGTGTTCACATGAGAGATAAGCACCAAAAAGAAAGAAGGAAAATGAGCGACAGATAGACAAATGATGAACTAGAAATAAAACTAAAAACTAAAAACTACTAAAACTAAAACACTAGCACCCCATTAGACCCCCCCGCACCTATAGGACACATTGTCCTCATTGTGACAAATAAACATCAAAAGTGGGAGAAAGAGCAGCAAACTTCCCTGAAGTCGGGTCAAAGTGGTGGGCGAGGCCGAAATGGAGGAGGAAAACCCGCATGATGCAAAAATTGCGCCAAATTCTGCGCTATGCCGGCTACATTGAGGTCGATGTTGAGCATCCGAGCCTTCAAACTCTGAACCTGCTCCCGGAGTTGTTACCATTCAGGAGCCCTAGGTGGTGGAGGTGGTGGGGCGGAGGTAGACGGTCTAGCAGTGTCCTCGCCCGACCCAGGGAATGAAGAGGGTCCCGCCTGTGTCGAAGGCTGCATACCCGATGCTCGAACTGGTCCCGGAGGGGTAAACTGGTGGAATATTTTGGGCAGGCGCTCGACGACTCCCTTTTCTCTAAGTAGTCCACGTCTAGGCGCTCCATCTCGAATGCCAAATGTAGGTCGTGGTCATCCAGATTAAGAACTCCCAATTGGGTCGCCAAGTGGGTGATGTAGGACCCAAGGATCAGAGGTTTGTTCTTTTTGGTCAAAACAGTCTTGAACTATGCCGCCAATCAATACCCCAAGTTAACCTTGATATTGTTCTTCATACTCCAGATGAAGAAAAACTCAGGTCGAGAGAGTATACCGGAGCTGTCCTTGCGCCCCGAGTAGCTGTAGGCTAAGAATCGCTGAACATATCGGGCACTAGGATCCTTAAGAAAGGAGCTCCTAGACCTAGAAGGGTCGTAGCGGTGCCGATTGACGGACATGTCCTCCCACACATCATGGTAGCGGGAGAGAAATGGCTCTATGTAATCACAGGCACTCTCCGCATACTCCCTAGTCTCAGCATACTCTCTAGTAATAAATCCAAATGCCAGATTGAACTGGTAATGGAGAAGTTGAACTCCCGACCCATTAGACGGAAATGAATGACATTCGGTATTTCAACGGTGTACCTCGTAGGCAACTCGAACTCAAAGGTGGAGTAAAACTCCCGAATCAGCTCAACAAAAGCAGGGCAAGAAATATCAAAATACGGGCGCCACCCAATGGCGGTGAACATCTGATCAACCTCCTCCGTATACCGAGGGCAGTCAGAGAGAGTTTATCACAAGATTTACAGGATATGATACGCCTCTCACAGACCTTAACGTATCTCTGCTGATCGGCGGGTCTGGTGAAGGTCAAGTGCCCCCCAAAGTGAGCTGGGGTATCTACCTGAGCACCCCTACCCCTACCCAAGTGGGTTCGAACACTAAAAGAGGAGGGTAGGTTGGTAGGTGTATTCACAGGAATAGAGGCCTGTGGAGGGGGTTGAGACTGAGAGGCCCTAGACCTAGAGGATGATGTTGGTCTCACCATTTCGTCTAACAATAAACGCAAACCAACAAGAACCCAAATATAGAGTTGCTAGCACACAAAGCAAGTAGCACGAGCAGGGCAATAGCAAAGCAGTAGTCCCTGAATATGCACTCAACCACCAACAATATGAATACCCAGTGCCCAACAGTGAGTCAATTGGGGCAGCAACTGGCACAATTGAATAGAGCAAAAACACAGATAGAGCCCTCCAATTCAGAAATTGAACACAGCAACCAGGATGTTATCAAGAGGTCGATAAAACACTACTAATGCCAACAAGGAAGTCAATTGCTGAATTAACTCAACCAGAATTTCAACAATCACTACCCTGGCCGAGTTGCCTTCCAATTATCACAGACAATTGAAAAATCCACACCCACCCAAAAACTAAACAATTCCACCTCAAAAATTGAACAAATGTCCCCAGCAGTGCACCCGTAGCAAGAGCCCCAAGGAGTCAACAATCTAAGCAAGAATAGTGCAGAAGCCAACAATAACAACTTAATCCCAAGCTTTCAGCTTCCAATCAGTTAGCCATAGAGTAGATTAAACCCAGTGAAGTCAAAATACCCACAGAGTCGAGGAAACAATTGCAACAGCTGACCCACAATAATGAAAACCCAACTATACCAAGTACGAACGCGGAATTGGGAAATGAGTTTCAAATACCTCCACTGACCGATAGGTGAAGAAGGTGGAACTGGGTGGCGGCTAACAAAGGGGCAGCTGCGTGCAGTTGACGCTGGGTTAGGCGGCGGTGAAGTAGAGCTGGGGTGGAGGTGAGCTATCCGCGCGGAGAGAGAGAGAGAGATTCGGAGGAAGAGACAGAGGCGGCGTGCGGCAGAGGCGTCGAGCGGTGGGCGGCGGCTGTCTCGCGCGAGGGCCTCTGGTCTCGGCCAAGGGGAACGACAGCGCAGAACTGATCGTCTCGGTAGGGGTGCAAGGAGAGAGAGAGACGGTGGACAACAGCTCGCGACACACAGGTGGAGAGTCGCGGCGGCGGTCGCCTTGCTGCGTGCGACGCGTGCGCAGTCAGTCGCGGTCGCGCGAGTGACCGAGAGAGAGAGAGAAACGCAAGAAGGGTCTGCGGTGGTGGGGTGAAGCGAGGCGCGCACGGGGACGGCGGACTAGACCAGGGTTGCTAGGGAGATGCGCAGAGCCGCGGCGGCACGGGTGGCTGGCTATCGCGTGCGGCTGAGAAGCTGGGTTGCGCGCGAGCTGGTGGCACGTAGCCGTGGGCAGGAGGCCGCGACTTTGGAGGAGATCGGGTGGCAGCAAGGGGGTGGTCACCAAGCTGGAGGCGCGCGTTTAGCAGGAAGCGGCGGAGCAGCAGGAGAACAGAGTAGAAGAAAGAAAGAAAAGAGAAAGAAAGCAGAAGAAGAAAGAATGAAAAAGAATGAAAAAAGAAAGAGAATGAAAAAAAAAGAAATTTTTTTTTCTTTTTGGAAATTTAAGCTACGGTGAAATAAAATTTTGTTTTATTTTTTTATTTGCAAGACCTTATTATTACATAACTTATTTTCGAAATTAAAAATTAGAAAATAATAGAAAATGAATACATAATTTATGTCTTTTTTTTTTGAATCCTTACCTTTCTCGCGAACGTGGCGCGGCACGTCAAGAAGGCACGGATAAGGAGCTCTTCAGGTCGCTTGACGTGGGCACGTCATGAGAGCAAGAGAGCTCTCTGACCATGAGCTCTTCATGGGACTTGACGCAGGCACGTCATGAGGATCGAAACCCCTTCTGATGATTCTGATCTGGAGTTTCCTATACGTTATGACGCTTGCGCTTCAAAAGGGCAGGAACCCCTTCTGACGCTTCTGATCATGAGCTCTCTACGGGCGCGTCATGAGGGCAGGAACCCCTTTTGACGATTCTGATCATGAGCTCTCTATACGTCATGACGGAAGGACACCTACAAATCATCAAAACGAAAATTGAAATCCGAAATCATTCAAATTCAAGGAAAACATATTTAAACTATCACACGAAATCAAACAAACAATTAAAAGCAACAATTGGGTTGCCTCCCAATAAGCGCCTTTCTTTAATGTCTTTGGCTAGACATGGTAAAGTGTCACTGATTAGGACACGGTGGTGCGTCTAGACTTATTGTCTCCACTTCTCCACTTGAAAAACTTTCATAATAATGTTTGAGACGGTGTCCATTCACCACAAACTTGTTGTCTGTCTTAACACTCTGGATTTCAACTGCACCATATGAAAACACGTGAGTAACAATAAAAGGTCCAATCCAACGGGAACGTAGCTTACCTGGGAAGAGCTTAAGCCTGGATTGGTACAGGAGGACCTTCTGACCAACTTCAAAGGTTTTTCTAGAGATTTGTTGGTCATGAAATACCCGACTCCTCTCCTTGTAAATTAGTGCATTTTCATAGGTTTCGTTCCGGATCTCCTCCAATTCTTGTAAATTCAACTTTCGTTGGGCACCGGCCTCTTCTAAGTTCATGTTGCATTGCTTTATCACCCAAAACCTTGTGCTCGAACTCCACTGGCAGGTGACACGGTTTCCCAAATACCAGTGTGTACGGTGACATCCCTATAGGGGTCTTGTAAGCCGTCCGATAAGTCCAGAGTGCATCTTCCAACCTTTGACTCCAGTCCTTTCTATCCGGTCACACCATTTTCTCCAAAATGGACTTAATCTCCCGATTCGATACCTCCGCTTGACCATTGGTCTGAGAGTGGTACGACGTTGAGACCCTTTGGAGTACACCATACTTGCAAAGCTATGGTTTTGTTGCAGAAGTGTGTTCCCTTATCACTGACAATAGCTCTTGGCATTCCAAATCGCACAAAAATATTAGACCTAATAAAATCTGTAACTACTTTCGAATCATTAGTCCGGGTGGCCTTGGCCTCCACCCATTTAGACACGTAATCGACTGCCAACAAAATATACACAAAATCAAAAGAGGTAGGAAAAGGTCCCATGAAATCGATACCCCATACATCAAAAATTTCAACAAAAATTAACGGGACTTGGGGCATCTGATCTCTACGGGCTATATTACCTACCCTTTGACAACGGTCACACGACTTACAAAACACTTAAGCATCCTTAAACAATGAAGGCCAATAAAATCCACTTTCCAATACCTTATGAGCAGTTCTCTTAGGTCCAAAATGACATCCACAGGCAAAAATATGACAAAAGTTAAAATCGATTGAAATTCCGCTTTACTTACACACCTCCTCATCACTTGATCTGCACATCTCTTCCATAAGTACGGGTCATCCCAGATAAAATATTTGGCGTCGCTCTTCAATTTATCCCCTTCGATTTCGGCCAACCTGCAGGAAAATTACCCGTTACTAAATAATTGACTAAATCGGCATACCAAGGCAATTGAGACTTTAAAGAAAATAGATGCTCTTCAAGGAATGCATCCTTCAATGGTTCGTTCTTCTCCCCAACTGGTATGCGACTCAGATGGTTGGCTACTAGGTTCTCTGAGCCTTTTTCCCTTATCTCCAGGTCAAATTCCTGTAGTAGCAATATCTACCTGATGAGCCTCGATTTTGCATCTCTCTTGGTCATTAGGTACCTTAATGCTGCATGATCAGAAAATACAATTACTTTAGCACCTAACAAATATGACCTGAATTTTTCTAAAGTAAAAATAACCACAAGAAGCTCCTTCTCAGTAGTGGAGTAATTCAACTGGGCCCCATTCAAAGCGCGGGATGCATAGTAAATGACATGAGCTGCCTTTCCCACTCTTTGGCCAACACAGCCCCTACAGCATGGTCACTGGCGTCGCACATAATCTCGAATAGCAAATTCCAGTCAGGAGGCTGGATGATCGGGGGTGAAGTCAACAGCTTCTTCAAAGTGTCGAAAGCTATCTCACACTGGTTATCGAACTCGAAGGTCACATCTTTTTGTAAAAGTTGGAACAACGGGGCTCCAATCTTTGAGAAGTCCTTGATGAACCTTCGAAAGAAACCTGCGTGGCCAAGAAAAGAGCGCACTTCCCGCACACTCGCGGGGTAAGGTAAAGCAGATATAATGTCTATTTTAGCTTTATCAACTTCAATACCTTTAGAGGATACAATATGCCCTAAAACTATCCCGTACTCAACCGTAAAATGATATTTTTTTCAATTAAGCACAAGATTAGTCTCTATACACCTCAATAAGATCAACCTCAGGTTATCTAGACATGTATTAAAACTATCACCATACACACTGAAATCGTCCATGAAAACCTCAATTATTTTCTCAACATACTCAGAAAAGATGCTTACCATACATCTTTGGAAAGTTGCAGGTGCATTGCACAACCCGAATGGCATCCGTCTATACGCAAAGGTCCCGAATGGGCACGTGAAGGTCGTCTTCTCTTGATCCTCCGGTGTAATTGCTATCTGAAAATATCCTGAAAATCCATCCAAAAGCAATAGTAAGCTCCACAAGCTAAGCGTTCAACCATTTGGTCAATGAAAGGAAGAGGGAAATGATCCTTTTTGGTGACGACATTTAGCCTGTGGTAGTCAATACACTGCCTCCATCCAGTGGGTTTGCGCACTGGCACGAGCTCACCCGTTTAGTTAGCCTCTACCGTCACTCCTGCCTTCTTTGGGACTACCTGGACCGGGCTTATCCAAGGGCTTTCTGATATCGGAAAGATGATTCCCACATCTAACAGTTTCAAAATTTCTTTCTTCATCACTTCCATCATGAGGGGATTGAGCCTCCTTTGAGCCTGCCGTACAGGTTTAGTATCATCTTCAAGTCTAATCCGGTGCATACAGATGGAGGGGCTGATCCCCTTGATGTCTGCGATGGTCCAACCTATCGCCTCTTTATACTCTCTAAGAACTCGGATCAGTTTCTCCTCCTGGGTTTTTGACAGTACTGATGAGATAATCACCGGAGAGTGTTTCGTTGTCACCCAGATACGCATACTTCAAGTGCTCTGGTAAGGATTTCAACTCCAATTCAGGTGCCTGCACCACAGATGGTAGTACCCTTCGGTGAGGTTCGGGAATGAAAATTGGAGAGACTTCATACCTTTTGTTATGGTTGGCAATGAGTGCAATGCCCCTATTGTGCATTTCAGATCTTCACTCTACTCCACCTCAGGAGTTGTCTCCAACTCGAGGTGCTTGGTTAAAGCAACTTCTAACTCATCCTTGCCAACGGTTTCAAACACTTCCTGCACCGCAAGGTCAATAGCACTCACAGAGAAAACGGAGCTAAAGTTGGAGTTTGAGGGGTATTTCATAGTATCAAAAATATTAAAATGCACAATTTTTCCATCAAACTCCATGGACAAGGTACCCTTATTAACATCAATTTTCGTTTGTGCTGTGCTCATAAAGGGTCTACCTAATAACAAATGTGAGGGATCGGGTGAGTGATCATCATCCATATCAAGTACATAAAAATCAGCTGGAAACACCAAATCATTAACTTTTACCAACACATCTTCAACCAACCCATCAGGATATGTATTAGTTCGGTCAACTAATTGAATGATTATCTCAGTTTCTTTTAATGGACCTAGTTTTAGAGGAGCATAGATAGATTTAGGCATGATATTAATTGATACTCCCAAATCCAACATGGCCCTTCTAATCACAGTGTTGCCTATCCTACAGGGAATAGTAAACATACCTGGATCCCCGCACTTTGGTGGAAACTTTCTCTGCAGGACTGCTGACACATTTTTCCCAACAATGACCCTTTCATCTCCCCACAACCGCCTTCGGTTGACACACAAGTCCCTTACGAATTTGGCATATTTCGGTACTTGTTTGATTGCGTCTAAGAGGGGGATATTAATCTCTACCTTGCGAAACACCTCCAGGATCTCCTTCTCCTTATCCCGCTTCTTCGATTTTTCCAGCCTGCTAGGGAAAGGGGGCGGGTTAGTTTTAACTGTAATTATTGGGTCTGGAAGTACCTTTTGATCTGCACCATTGCTGTTCTCCCTCTCAATCTCATTTTCGATCTTTTTCTCATCTTTGTCCTTAGGGATCACAGGCTCAGGTCCCAGAATTTCCTTCCCGCTCCTTAGGGTCATCGCGCTTACATTTTTTGGGTTCAATTCAGGCTGAGACGGCAATTTACCTTGCACTTGGGACTCCAAGCGGTTGATTGTTTTGGCCATTTGATTCATCTGATTTCTTATGTTCTGCCTCTCGGAGTCCGTCTTTTGTTGATTAGCAAGTAGTTGCTTCATCATCTCCTCCAAAGATGGACCAGAGCTCGGGGGCGGAGGTGGTCGGGATTGGTGTTGCTGCTGGTACCCTGGTTGCTTATTTGGCACGAAATTAGTCTGCCTGTTCCCTCCATAGCTGAGGTTAGGGTGGTCCCTCCAACCAGGGTTGTAGGTACTTGAATAGGGGTCATAGGACCGTCTTGGCGCGGGCGCGTGACCTGCCATGTTCACTTGCTCTGCACCCTCCTCTTGCATCATTGGACACATGTCTATAGAGTGACCCATACCAGTGTAAATCCCATACACCTTGGCCTGTGATGCATTTCCTACAGCCAATTGCCTAACAAAAGAAGTCGACTCAGTTAGCTGCTGCTGGATAGAGGATGTCTCTACCTCATTCACCTTGCGTATTGGGACATCCTCCCTCGTACTGAATTGCTGTGAATTCTCTGTCATTCCCTCAATTAACTCTCATGCTTTTCGAGGGGTTTTGTTTACCAATGCCCCTCCACTTACAGCATCAATTATGCTCCTGTCCCTGAAAAGAAGCCCCTCATAAAAATATTGTATGAGCAATTGCTCACTTATTTGGTGCTGGGGCACTTGATGCACAAATTCTTGAACCGCTCCCAATACTCATAGAGTGACTCCCCTGGGTGCTGCTTGATCCCGCAAATTTCTTTCCTTAGACTTGCAGCCCTGGACGCAGGAAAATATTTATCTAAAATTTTTTTCTTTAATTGATCCCACGTGGTGATACTACCTGGTGGTAGGTAGTACAACCAGTCTTTTGCTGAATCCTTCAGGGAGAAGGGGAATGCCCTCATTTTTATCTGCTCTTCTGTGATTCCCGGGGTTTCATACTATTGCACACGACATCAAACTCCTGCAGATGCTTATACGGCTCCTCACCTGCTAAACTATGAAAAGAAGGTAAAAAATGAATTAGACCCGATTTCAATTCAAATGAAGTGTTATCACTCAAACTCGGGACAGTAATGCATAAAGGCTGCTGAGTTAAATCATGAGTAGTCAACTCCCTTAATATTCGTGTATTAGCCATAGGGACTTCTTCTTGCTCCGAGTCACTCGAAGTGTCACCAAACGAATCTGCTGGTTCAACTTCTGGCTCAGGTCTCTGAGATGTAGCACTTGAGTGCTCTTCTCTGAGTTGTCTGGTCTTTTTTCTTGTTCTACGCGCAGTCTTCTTTACCTCGGGGTCAAAAATTAATTCACCTGTACGAGAAGAACGAGGCATACACTCGAAAAGCACCAGAAAATTAGAACAAAAATGAATTTAAAAAGAAACAAATAACTGACACCAGTCCCCGGCAACGGCGCAAAAAATTGACAGGTTGTCGAAGCCTGTACAATAATAAAATCAAACCTAATTGCCAGTTAAAATGACCAAAACCCAATTCCAAGTACTGGAGCAGGGACTCTAGGTATGCAATGGGTTACTTGATTCACTCTGTTCCCGAAGAGTTTGTTTGATCCGATATACGCGAATGGGATGATTTTTTTTCACAAATAACTATGAATTTGTAAACATGGCAAGTAGGGTCGTATTCTCAGGGATTGGGTATATTTGTCTCTTAAGAAATCCAAAGTAACACAGGGGGTGATTTTGTAGGAACGACGACAATCAAATAAATGTAAATAAGAAAATAAAAAAATAAATAACTAACTAGAAATTAAACAACAATTCACTGAACTCAGAGTAACAATAATTAAAGGCCTAAATTAATTAAAACACGAAAACAATTAAAAATAAAATAAAGTAGGCAACTAAAAGTCAAATAGCAATTCACTAAAATCAAGGTAATAGCAATTAAAGATCTAGCCAAGGAATAACTTCAGCAATAGTTCATTTAATTGATCATCGATACACAAGCAATTTCAATTATTTATCAATAAATAGGTTATAACTGCCAACCAAGCGATGGCAGTCAACCCCTCCTTACTGTGTCGGTGATCAAGGTACGCCCGTTAATCACTGCTTTAAATTGGAGAACAATCCTAGGTACGCTCGTAAGATTTAATTCCTCAATTGCCTTTCGTATTAGAGGAGCCCTTTTTCTAACCAAATAACGCACTACTAGGGTTATTTCATATTAGCCCGCGTATCCCCCTGACACAAATCTAATCATGCCAGTTGTCACTAATTCAAAACAATTAAACAATTACGGATTTAATGCCCTAATTGACAATAGATTATCAGACTAACTAATCATTCGGATCCAAGACAATCAATTAATTAAACAATCATAAATACTGCAATCAAGGGATATGCAAATACTAATAAATAAAACAAAAAGATAAAATTAAATCGATTTCACAATTTTAGGCGAACCAAAGCTTCCTTCGTTCCTTGACTAGAGTGAAGAAATTAGTTCATATTTGACAAGCAAAACCCATGGAAAATTGCAGCAAGAGTCGCGGCCATTATCACAGAAATTGGGAAAATGCAATTCGTTTGCGCGATGGAGGATAATGAAGCTACAGAGAAGAATTCAATGTTCCTAATCATCCCTGACATGCGAGTGAAGCAAACCCACTACAAGACGAAAAGCTAAAAGCTAAATAAAAAATACTACAGAGCATAATTCAAGTCTTTTCTTTTGTTCTTGACATACGTGAGCTCAATATATCCCAAAGCTCTCCATGGAAAAGTCAACAAAAGCTAGCCTCCAATCTCCTGACATGCGTGGGAACAAGCCAAGAAAGAAAAGCCCACCCCTAAGCTAAAAGACGAAAAACTCAAAAATAATCAGAGAGCTCTCATCCTCTGCAATCTTCCATTTTGTATCTGATAGTCTCCTCCTTGCACTGTGCGGCGGCTCCCAGGGAAAACAAGACGTCGGTCCAATGACCGAAAAGGGCTTGTGTCCCTTTTTCCAAAAGTGCCCTTGCAAGCCTTCTATTTTATTTCTTTTCCGATGACTGTCAAAGTAGCAGTGATTGTGGTATTTTTGATCTACTTTCTGAAATAAATGCAAATTACGAAAAGTGAGTAGAATCCAGCAATTAATGCACATCAAGTCAGGTAATAGGAAAAATTAATAATAAAATAAATAGTGAAATTGCAATCTATCAATTTTGTTGTGACTTAAATTTTGGTGATCAACAGAATTTTATCTATTTAACATCACTTAGTTGCAGTTCTTTTGAAGGATGCTTACAGTCAGCATGAACTAAAAAAAAAAAAAAAATTCATCCACTTACTTATATGAAGATAGTCTTTTGTGAATTTCGTATCTAGTAAATTTTATTTAGTTAGAAAAAATTATCTCGCAATATGTAAAGATATATAGAGAGGAGTGTAAAACTTTTACATGGTTAAATAAACAAACTAAATGATATAAAAGAAAAAGCAATATTGAGGTATTCGATTGAGGAGGGGGAGGGATGTTTTGGGGGAAGGAGTATAAAGGTCTCGAATTCGAGTTATTCTACTTGTACTAAAAAGAAAGAGGTATTTGATTGAGGAAAAAGAATTTTCTTAAAAAAATAAAATGGGATTTATTAGATATTTGGGCGGCATCAAAATGGGTTTAGCCCATTTTAGTTCCGCCCATACTGGTTCCAAGACCAAAATGGAACTATTTGGATATAACCCATATTTTGTAGTTCCAATTAAGTTTCGCCCAAATCGAGGTATTTAGTTGAGGAAAAAATAGTTTTTTTAAAAAATAAATAAATAAAATGGGATTTATTGGGTGTTTGGATGGGATCAAAATGAATTTAGCCCATTTTAATACTGTCCATACCGGTCCCATGACTAATATTTTGGGCTTTCAGTAAAGTCCCGTCCAAATCTCGCCATCCATCCATTGGCTACCTCTAATTTGAGGACAAAAACAAATTAGCTGGGACAAAATTTCCATTCAACAAAAATTTCAAGAGCTAAGTATTCTTGTACATGTTAATTAATGAACCAATTTACTCTTAAAACTAATTGCAGTAAATATCACACTGATGTTAAGCGAGTACATGAGCAAATATTCTCTTCTTGAAGTAGTTTTCCAAGCAAAGGGTCAATCAAGAAATAACCAAAATCCCGTGCATTTAATTTTTCCACACATTCCACGCGTTAGTTTTGGAGTATTCATATCGGTCATGATCTGAGTCTTTCCACAATTCAAGAACTTAATGTTTAGGAAACTTCAAGCCCAAACCCATCTCCACGTTTGTCCTTTTTTTCTCTACTCTGTCCAATATTCCGTGTTCTTTGCACTATTTTTGAGTGCTTTATTCTTGATAGAGCTCACACAACAATTCAAATCAAAGTCATTCATCCAACAAAGTCTCCCTTCACGTTCACCTTCAATGAAAGTAGTGGTGCGTTTTCGAAGACTGGAAAAACAATTTTCTACAACCTCTTATTGACCAACTCACATATGAAGGAAATAAAAATGTGATTTGCAAAACGTCTTTAAGAGTCTTCGGAGCCTTTGGAGACTCCAAAGACAGTTCTCAAACACATCAGCGTCCATATAGAGCTGAAGAGTGTCATTAAAATCCCCAAATTTTAACCATCCCTCTCTTGCATATACTGTCACGTTAGCGATTATGATGGGCATGGCAAAAACAGGCAACTTCCTGTTTCTTCTTGCTGTCCTGCTATGCTTTCCTGTGGTTCCCTTAGCCAACATCAAGCGCAACATTTCCACGGATCTATCTGCGCTGCTTGCCTTAAGATCCAATGTCTTGGATCCTACACATGAATTATTGACAAAGAATTGGACCACGAGAATGTCAGTCTGCAACTGGCTTGGTGTCAAATGCTCTTCTCGCCACCATCGAGTAGTCGCTTTGAATATGTCTTACATAGGCCTTCAAGGTAGCATTCCTCCAGAAATAGGAAATCTTTCCTTTCTCAATTCATTTGATTTCCGATACAACAGCTTCACAGGTCGTTTGCCTCAGGAGATGGCCCGTCTGCGAAGACTCAGATACATTAATCTCAGCTTTAACAAATTTAGTGGAGAGGTCCTTCATGGTTCGGCTTTCTGCCTAATCTTCAATACTTGTTCATCGCAAATAACAGTTTTACGGGTAGCCTTCCCTTTCCCTGTCTAATGCATCAAAGTTGGAGGTCTTAAATGTGCAGTTCAATCAACTGCAAGGTAATATACCCAAGAAATTGGTAATCTTGGCAAGCTGAAGATCTTGAATCTGCAAGGTAACCAGCTTACAGGGTCTATGCCGCCAGCCGTTTTCAACATTTCATCGTTGCAAAGACTGTCTCTGACAAGCAATAGTATTAGTGGTATTCTTCCCGTAAACATGTGCTTTAACCTTCCAAAAATTCAAGCCATTTTTCTATCGACAAACCAATTTTCAGGCCAAATTCAGTCCAGGTTCAAGAATTGCTCAGAGCTTCAAGTTCTTGCACTGAGCATCAATAAATTCAGTGGAGCAATACCACGAGAAATTGGAAACTTAACCATGTTAAGCAAAATCTCATTGGGAGATAATTCCTTCCAAGGTTTGTTACTAAATATCAGCATGTGTCATTTTGCGTTGTTGATTTTTCACAGAGATTCTCACATCAAATATCAGCATCAAATATTGTTTTGATAATTTACACGTAAAAGTTATTTTCAAAGTTTAAAAAAAGGGGAAAAGAAACCTCCCCAAAACCCGGACTGTTAATGGAAGTACGTAGAGAAAAAGTATAAATGTGCAAATATTTATACGGGATTTATTTTAGAAAATAGCGTTTTCCACCCTTATAAGAAAGGAAGTCTGGAAAAAAAAAAATTGCATTAGCATATTGTCCATCTACTTCAATATTCGTAAGCATTGCACATGATTGGGGGGTGATTTAGGCAAGCTAGAAAATTTAACGTCTAAAGTGTTCAAAGTTAAAAAAGGGGCTGTAAAATAGTAATAATTGGTGACATAAGGGTGTAAAACTTGTATTTGAAAGTGCAAAATGAGAATTAACAAAATATAAATTCAAAATGAAATTAGGTCTCTTTATGATAGTAATGTACTTGTGTTAACATCTGCTTTATATAATCATAGATTTCCGCTAGAGCCTCATATGGGGTTAGAATTTACAAACAAGTCCACGAAAGGCCTCTTGGCCAAAGTGGAAACATGCAGTTGCCTTTCATTTGTCTTGAATTTCCGAATTTAGCACACGAGGTTTACTTGTTTCTATCTAATTATATAAGAACTGCTGACAACGTAATTAATTTTCATTCTTGATTCTTAAAGTACGGCTATTATTCTTAAAGGAGTTCTCTGGCAAGCTATATGTTTTCCCTCATAAGATTTATTTTTTTTCCTCGTGTGTATAATGAACAGGTGAAATTCCGCGAGAGATAGGCAATCTCCTCAATTTGGAGATATTAGAGGTCGGATATTCTTCACTCACTGGTAATTACTAATCATCTCGATTCTCAGCTTTGATTACATTTCATCAGCTTTCCGTTTCTTCCAACTCTAGTGGTCGAGATAATTGATTGCTCAAGATCTCGATTTGTAGGGTGAATACAATTTCTTGGTTCTGAGACAATTTAGGTTGGATGTTGAGTTTTGATCGTTCATATCGAAATTCTAAACCTTAGAGGTGGCAATGACGAAAAACACTTTTAACTGTAGTTTGCACGAATTTGAGTTTTTAAAACATTTTTGTCATTAACTCCCATCAATCCCAACCTTTTGTTACTTTTCGATAATACGAGTATAAAATTAAATGTTTTGGTTATGACATTAGTGCTTTCCTTTCCAGTTTTGTCCTTCAAAATTAAAATTTTAAATTTGAATATGGCATGACATAGGATAAATGAATGACAAAACTGTTAAACACATCGTAGATAGTTTTGAATTTTTTAAGATGATAAAAAGTAAGGATAAATTACATATAATTCCTTTGTGTTTTCATCTATTATTGTTACATGTGATCCCTCTAAAGTTTCAAAATGTCCACTTTATCTCTTATGATTTTATATAAAGTAGAAACTAGACGAAAAATAGCATATGTAACGTTGTTAGGTGACATATTGATGGTATCCTTGCTTAAATGCTAAATCAATTGATGGCTTATCCACCTTGTATAAAAGTATAGGAGAATTATCTGGATAAATGCAAAAATTATAGGGGGTGAAGTGGATATTTATATAAACCATTAGGGAATTACATGGTTATTAAGATTTTATCACAAGCCTTTTATAGTGTGTTGGATATAAACGCTGTAATTCATTGCACATTCTAACTATTTTTCACTTTACATAAAATCATAGAGGAACTATTTTAAAACTTTAAAGGGGTCATCTAGCATTCTGTAAAACCTTAGGAGGTAATAAATAACTTATCCAAAAGTAATAGTCCACGTGCCCAAAAGTAATAGTCCTCGTAAGTTGTCTTGTACAATTGGAAACACACCACAGACACTGAGAAATGATTCATTCATTTGCTGCTCAACAAGTTCATGTTTTCACGGAGAATTCTTGCAGCCATCAGTTGTAGTTTACCAACACATACATATGATTATGGATTCTGAAGTACTGGCAAATTGGAGGTCCAGTCCCGGAAGAAATTGGCAATCTTCAGCAACTAGAGACCTTGATATTCACTTCAAATGCCTTGAGCGGTTCAATTCCCGCGTCCATATTTAACATCTCATCTCTAGTAGTAATTTCATTCACCTCAAATAACCTCTCAGGGAGCCTTCCTCCTGGTCTAGACCAGAAGCTACCAAATCTACAAATGTTGTATCTTGGAAATAATAAACTTACCGGTGCTATTCTTGATTCCATCTCAAATGCTACGGTACTTGACACATTGGAACTTGGCAATAACCAATTCACTGGTTCCATTCCAACCTCGTTAGGCAACTTGAGGTTCCTTGAGACCCTTGGTCTTGATAGAAACTATTTCACCTCCAATTCGCCGGCAGAGTTGAGCTTTCTTTCATCTTTGACGAATTGTAGAGGTTTAAAAACTTTGTCCATGTCGTTGAATCCTCTGAAAGGAACTCTTCCCTCTACAATAGGGAATTTTTCCAGTTTGCTCACATTCTTTTATGCAAGTATTTGTGAAATTGAAGGCAACATTCCACCTGAAATTGGTAATCTAAGTGGCCTATCAGTCCTCAGTGTTGGCGACAATTACTTGACTGGACCACTACAAATGACGTTCAATGGACTGTTGAACCTGCAAGCTTTGGACCTACAAGGTAACCAAATTCTAGGGAATATTGCTGACACATTTTGCAATTTCAGGAAACTGGGCATATTGCATTTGAGTCGAAATCAGTTCTTTGGTATGGTGCCAGAATGTTTTGGAAATATTACATCACTGAGACAACTGTACTTAGATTCCAATGGGTTCAATTCAAGTATACCTGCAAGTCTAGGAATCCTGAAGGATTTGTTGGAGCTAGACATTCATTCAAATTCTTTGAGTGGTTTCATACCGACAGAAATTGGAGATTTGCGGGCTGCATTGTACATGGACTTGTCAGGCAATAGATTTTCAGGCAATATTCCCGCAACACTTGGTAACCTTGAGACCTTGATCAACCTCACCCTGGCACATAATGAATTACAAGGGCCAATTCCAGCAACATTTGGCAAATTGGTAAGCCTGGAATTATTGGATCTATCTCATAACAACCTCTCTGGAGAGATTCCAAGACCATTAGAATCACTTTCACGGTTGCTACACTTAAATGTGTCCTTCAATAAGCTACGAGGAGAGATTCCCTCAACTGGTTCTTTCGTGAACTTCACAAATGAATCATTCATGTCAAATGAGGCACTCTGTGGTGGTCCTCCTCATTTGCACTTCCCTACTTGCCCTTCTCCTCGGGGATCAAGGATGAAAAGCTTGCGCTTAGCCGCTTATGTCTTGCTACCGAGTGCATTCTTAGCTTTTGCTTTAATTAGCATTGCAATACTGTTCATGAAAAAGAGAAGAAGAAACCAAAGTACTGCTCAAGCAGATTCACCTCCAGCAATAACACCTGAATGGATTTCTTACTATGAGCTTCAACATGTAACCAATGGCTTTAGCGAGAGCAATTTACTTGCAGTGGGAAGTTATGGTTCAGTTTACAAAGGGATGCTCAGGAATGGAAAATTGTCGGCCATAAAAGTTTTCAACTTGCATTTAGAAGGAGCATTCAAAAGTTTTGACACTGAGTGTGAAGTTCTGCGTAATCTTCGCCACAGGAATCTGGTTAAAGTCATCAGTAGTTGTTCTAACCCAGATTTTAAGGCTCTAGTCTTAGAATATATGCCTAATGGAAGTCTTGAGAAATGGTTGCACTCTGACAACTATTTCTTGGATTTTGTCCAAAGATTAGACATAATGGTGGATGTAGCAGCTGCATTGGATTACCTTCATCATGGCTACCCGTCACCTGTAGTCCATTGCGATCTAAAGCCCAGTAATGTTCTTCTGGATGAAGAGATTACTGGTCATGTGAGTGATTTTGGCATTGCAAAGCTATTTCATGGGGATGAAAGTACGAGACAGACAAAGACACTCGCAACAATTGGTTATATAGCACCGGGTAATTTAAAGTTTTTGCAACAAGTTGATAGACAAATTGATATATTCATACTATTTGAGTTCTAACTTTGTAGTATACTAGTAATAACTTACGCGCTTTGCACGTGAATATATTTTTTCAAAATATAAAATCTTTAATATACTAAATTTCTATGTAAAATTTTGATTGTTGGCATAATATAATCCAAGAAACTATATAATAAATAAAATTAAGCAACTGACAGTGGTACAAAATGTTTATTACATACAAAATAATTACAAATTTATTGTGCATTCTACAGTTATAAAAACTTTGAAAATGAAAGATTATCATATTTAAACTAAGTTTTTATTATAATATTGACTAAGAAACCATATGATAAACAAAATTAAACAATTGTTAGTTATACAAGACATTTCATATACACAGCAATTAAAAGTTTATTGTGCATATTACAATCACAAAAACTCTGAAAATGGAATTGTATCATTTCTAAACTAAGTTGCTGCATATTTTATTTGAATTATGATAGTAAGAAGGAGAAATTTTGTATGTTGTATCAAACTAGTGCATGGAACAAAACTTGTGCACAATATATACTCAAACATTCTGATTAGGATACAACAAAATTTTATTAATTTCAGAGTTGTAAATCTTTTCTATTATATATATATTTTGTATAATTATTGACAACTTTTTTGAGAATTTTCTTAGACAATATGACATAATGTAGTGTATTTAATAATCAATTTCACCTTTTGTTTTCTCATTTATTTTTTAACCTTTTGTCTTCTTATTAATTATGATTTTCTTCTAAACCAATATGTATGTAATATATAGTTTACTTTAATTATCACACATAACAATATAATAATTTGAGATAATTTTAACACATACAATAATTGGAGATGTGGGAAATAATTGGTGAATATAATTGTAAATGGACAGTTTATACTTTTAATAACCAACATTTTTGAGATGTAATTTTGTTGAAACTTTTCATTTCTCTTTTTTTTTTTGTCAAAAGGCATGATAATAACTCTAATTAGTGTCATATTGAAATGCAATAACTCTAATTAAAAGATATGAGGGTAATTTAGACAAAACAAAGATTAATATCAAAATATCCTTACACTCTTATACTCCCTATTTTCAAGACTCATCATACTTTTAATATAGTAATGATATATAGGATGGATCTTTACTCGTGCCTATCTTGCTTTGCTCTCCCCAGGAAGTAGAATAGTGATTCATATTATGATTTTCTTTAGGGTAAAATACATAAAACCCCCCTGTGGTTAAGGAAATTAACATGAAATTTTCTTATTGTTTAGAAACATCCACTTAACCCCCTGTGCTTTGGACTTCTTTGGATTTTACCTGCTAACCGGCTGGGAAGCCGGTAATAACATGAAATATGTAACGACCCCATTTTCCCCTAAGGCGAACCAGAGGGGTCAACGGGCCGCCTGCCCAGCTCTCGCCAGGACTCGGTCAAACACTACAGTTCTCCAATAAACTACAATATAAATCTCGGATACCTACATCAACTGCACCAGGAATTACATATCACAAACACAGCGGAATGTACACGCACGTCCAATCAATTAATACAAACCCTAATACTACGCTATTACACAAGAGGCAATCCAAATACAAACCGTACACGGTAATCCATCCATTCAAATTTCAACCAGTCACCCTCGCTCAACTATTACAAAAACGGATCCAAATCTAAGCTATACATTAGACATGCCATTCAGGCACACAACTAAAGAAAATACAAGCGCTTCCTTTGCCTCGATTCCTGTGGGGAGAAGAAAACATTTGGGGTGAGCTAGAAGCTCAGCGAGTGAACAGTAAAAACAGTAATCAAATAGTCTTATCAGTAGTGTATTTCAATGCTATCATGGATTAACGGTCCAATGTGCAAATAATGCTCTTTAGAGCCCGTGAAATCCCTTGTACTCAAAATCTAACACTCCCTTAGATCAAGTAATCAGATAAACAGAAACAATGAGCCATCGTGCTCCAAAGAATGCATACACAGTAGTGGAGACGTTGATTCTGAGTACAAGATTTTCCCAAGAACTCATTAAAGCCAAAATGTTATGGCACACACACATACACAATGATATGCAATCGTGTAATCAATGCAAGAATTAATTCAAAAGTAACTTTTGGAGAAATAGTTAAGGTTCACTCACCAACCACGGCACACGAACCTTTTTCCAGCATACATCCTTGCCTTGATCAAGTCTAGATAACAAATAGCATGTCAAATAAAAGGCATTCTAAAACTAACAAGTTCCTGCCACCTTTTGGCATTTTAATCACAATTGAAAATACGCTTATCCGATTAACACGAATCTTATGGCATTTGGAAGCTAAGACATATGCCAACATTTCTTATGAAGACTTCCAAAGTCAAAATGTACAATTTCAGGGTCAAATATCGAAATCTAGGAGAAAGAACGAAAACTGTCATAAAACAGGGGTTACGGGGCAGTCATGGGTATTTCGGTCAATTCACAAGCCACAGTACTCCAATCAATCTGAAATTTTTCAGGCAAGTAGTCAACTCATATATCTACAAGTTTCATGTTTTAAGCAAAAGTTGATTCGGTCTACAGGACAGAGAAAAGGACAGTCCAAGTTCAGTCCAGAAACAGGGAAAAACTGAAATTACTCTTCTTGCACCAACCTTTGCACATGACTATCACTAATCACAATTAAGGCTAGAAATCCCCACTTAACATGAGACTAGCCTATACCAATCATGTACATGCCAAAACAAGGATGAATTAACTTAAACAAAGTTTATCAATGTCCCTAATATGGAACTTAATCCTCCTAATATCCAAATCACAAGAATTTCCATAAAATGAATCAAGATCAATTCAAATTCAAAACAAACACATACTCGCAAAAATTGGACGGCATAACCCCTAAATTTTGCACATTTCCATCCCACCATTCAATACCAAATACACCTCAACGCAAGCCCATTTTTACATACAATTTATAGGCTAGTACATTTTTACATTTTTACATACCCCTTCAATCAAGCCAATTAGAAGCTTATAAGTCACCTTGGGAAAAATCCCTAATTTGAAACCCTAGAAACCGGAAATTACACTACAAGCATAAATTTTCTGTAATCGATCACAATTAATGCATAAGAGCTTCATTGAACACCATTTAAAGCTATCAATCCAAGGCTAATGAACCATAACCATATTAAATCAGAAAATTCCCAATAAATCAGAAATCTACCATAATTTCTTTCAACCCATATAATACTCCACAATACAACACATTTAAACATCACAAACCCTAAATTAACCAATATTAGAACCAAAGGAAACTTGTTTATCTCACTTACCTCAAATTCAAGAAAACTATCAAGGTAGAGCTTCCCATCCAAATTCAACCCACCAAAAGCTTTAAACCATCCTAGTGAGCCCGTGTGTGAAATATCTTCCAAAACCATCGGTGAAATCGCAAGATTTTGGTAGAAATTGAAACTAGAAAATTGAAGAGGTTTTTCCTCTCAAAGCTCACGGAAGAACCAGGGAAGAAAATGAGATATTTTGGTTGTAAAAGTGGAATAAAAAGGGAGCAAACAGCCGGTCAAAGCTTCTGACCGGCTGTGCCACGTCAGAATCCGGCCGGATTCTTGGCCGGATTCAAGGCAGTGGCTGATCAAAAATTTTTTCAAAACGGCTGGGCAATCCGGCCAGCTATCCGGCCAGAAACTGGCCGGATTTCCGGCCGGATTTGACCCCCCCTTCACATTTCAAAATTTTTTCGTTTCTTAACCGAGCTGAAAACCTGTTTTACTCCACTCGTCCAACAAAAGATCCATCAAATAAAAACCCTAATTTTCGGGGCGTCACAATCTCCCCTCCTTAAAACAATGTCGTCCTCGACATTCTATCTCATATAAATCCGGTCAAGATATCGCTCAGAAACCAATCAAGCATTAGATTTCAATCTACTCCAACTTGTATTCACCAGGTCCAAGTTGTTTTCTCCCAAAGTCAGTTAAATACTAGAAATCATTCCAATCTCACTTATCACAATTCATGATCCAGTAAAGCATGGCTTATTTAATAATCACTTATCAGGTTCAAGTATTACATCTCACGCCAATCCGACTTATCAATCAGTCATGATCCAACAGGGAATTAATCGTGTAACCAGTTAAAACAGGCAAAAGGCTTGAAGTCGGACGTAAAGTCCCAAGTATTTGGAAGAAATTCAGGATATAGCGAAGCTTCAAATCAAAATTCATCCCTGGTGGTGCTGGACAACACAACAAGCTAGCACAACGGCTATGCTTCACCAAAGAATTTCAGTTCAGTAAGTTGGCCCTGGTGGTGCTGGACAACACAACAAGCTAGCACAACGGCTATGCTTCACCAAAAGCCTCAGTTCAAGTATTGGTCCCTGGCGGTGCTGGACAACACAACAAGTTAGCACATCGGCTAAACTTCGCCAGAGAACCTCAGTTCATGTATTCGTCCCTGGCGGTGCTGGACAACACAACAAGTTAGCACATCGGCTAAACTTCGCCAGAGAACCTCAGTGCAAGTATTCGTCCCTGGCGGTGCTGGACAACACAACAAGTTAGCACATCGGCTAAACTTCGCCAGAGAACCTCAGTTCATAATTCCATCTCTGGTGGTGATGGACAACACAACAGGCATGCCTCGCCAGAAGAATGGCGGTGCTGGACAACACAACAGGCAATGCCCCACCAGAGAGGTTCAGTTCAACCGCTACAGAAGAGTAGTAGCCGGTCTACAACCATATGAGTACGAGTAAGTTCACGGACAATCGGTCAGTGGGATTAAACCCGAGCCTGCCGTGATAAAATCTGTGTTGATTTTTGATTGATGATTTTTTCTTTTTTTTTTCTTTTTTTGACTTTTGAAAATCTTTCCAAAAAATTAATTTGCCTCAGTATGATGAATTTTTGCAATGTGAGTCCAGAGTTGATTCTATATCGCCATGCT